ACCAAGTAAAATTCTTTCCCAACTGTGGACCAGAGTTTTCCAAGATGGAGCTTTTAATTTTTATCTAGTTAGAATTCACTGCACCACCAGGCATTGGTGGTGCACGCCTTTAATCCCAGCACTTTGGGAGGCAGAGGCAGGTGGATCTCTGTGAGTTCCAGGCCAGCCTGGTCTACAGAGCAAGTTCCAGGACAGGCTACAAAGCAATACAGAGACACCCTGTCTCAAAAAAAGAAAAGAAAAGAATTCACTGCACCATTTTCATACATGCATATCATCATCTGTTCCTGTCTCCCCTCCCGCTAGTCCTTTCCATCCCCAGTAGTGATCCCCACTTCTGCTATTACGTCATTCATATATCTGTATGTTTGTAGTTAAATCTAGATTCTGCATATTATATTTGTCTTTCTTCCCTCATTACCATCTCTTGTCCCCTCCCCACTTCCCTTCGGGTCCCCTTCTTCGTGCAATGAGTCTCCTGCCTTCATGTCATACATGCATTTAAGCCTAGATTCTGCAAATGAAAGAAAATGTGATCTTTTCTTTTTGAGTCTGGCTGATTTTGTTTAATGTGATGATCTCCAGTTCTACCCATTTTCCTGAAAAATCACACAATTTCATTCTTCTTTATGGCAGATTAAAACACCATCGTGTATGTACAGCACATTTTCTTTATCCATTCATTTCTTATGTGCATCTACATTAATTTAATATTTCAGGCTATTATAAGTAGTTGCCCCAGGTCTGGAGAAATGGCTCAGTAACATAAGAGCACTGCCTGTTCTCCTAGAGGATCTGAACTTGATTTCCAGCCCACATATGGTAGCTTACAATCATCTGAAACTCTAGTTCCAGGAGATCTGATGTCCTCTTCTGCAAATACCAGGCACTCAAGTGGTGCACAGACATACATGCAGGCAAAGCACCCACACGCATAAAAGAAAACAAAAGTGAATAATAAGTAAGTACTACTTCAATGCCCAGAAATGGAGCAGCTTACCCTCTCCATCTTCTCAAGGTCAGCTCTTGAATAAATTTGATTTTCTTTCTATTGACCCACTTCCCTCTGAGTACTGGAGTTTGAATAGTAAGCCATATAGACTTGGTCTAGCAACAAGTGCCATCAGAAGCTGTGCCATTGTCACACTTCAGGTCCCCAGTGTGCATTGTGCCTACATTTATGTCTGGGAAGGAATGGTGTAGAAAGAAGGTGTTCTTCAGGACATTCCTGTTTGCATACCTCTAGTACTTCTGTCCCCCTTTATTCCGTTGATCCTACTACAGCCAGTGAGGAACTGTCAGCTTAGGATGAGCTGCTTTCAATTTCAAGGGCATTTCTACGAATCTCCCTTGAGGTCTGTTCTCATGGAGTTGACTGTACTTGTATCCTGGCAGCTTTGCTTTGCATAGCTTCTGCAAAGACCTTCACTGCTTCAGTGTGTTATTTTTCTTAGCATTGTGACAAGATTTGTGTCTTAAACAACTTAAAGCAGGAAGCGTACATTCTAGTTCATGATCTCAGGGATGTCAGTCCATCATAGTTGGAATGGCATAGCAGTGCAGAACAGTTCACATTATACAGTTCACATCTCTGACAGGAGGCAGAGAAAGAACCTTTTAACAATTTGCTAGTGAAACTTTCTTTTATTTTTCTTTTACTTTAAAATGTCGGGGCTTTCTGGGCAGTGGTGGCTCACGCCTTTAATCCCAACACTTGGGAGACATAGGCAGGTGGATCTCTGTGAGTTCGAGACCAGCCTGGTCTACAAGATAGCTCTTCCAGGACAGCCTCCAAAGCCACAGAGAAACCCTGTCTCAAAAAACCAAATAAATAAATAAATAAATAAATAAATAAATAAATAAAAATAAATGTTGGAGCTGGAGAGATGGCTCAGTGGTTAAGACCACCGGCTGCTCCTCCAGAGGACCTGGGTCAATTCCCAGCATCCACATGGCAGCTCACAACTGTATGTAACTCCAAGATTTGACACCCTTACAGAGACATACATACAGACAAAACACCAATACAAATAAAATAAAAATTAAAAAAACATTTAAAATAAAAATAAAAATGTCTTTGGGCTCAGTTGGTCAAGTGTTGCCCTACAAGCACAAAAACCGAAGGTCCCTGGGGCCCATGTAAAAAAGCAAGGTGTGTGTCCCACTTACAATCTCAGTGCCAGAGAACAGAAGACAGGAGTCCCAGGGCTTTCTGGCTAACTAGTGTTGTCTACTAGGTGAGCTTCAACCAATAAGAGTTCATGTGTCAAAAAAACAAGATGGAAGGCTCCCAAGGAATGACAGGCACACGCCTTTACTCCCAGCACTCAGGAGGCAGAGGTAAGTGGATCTCTGTGAGTTTGAGCCCAGCCTGGTCTACAGAACTAGTTCCAGGATGGCCATGGCTACACAAAGAAACCCTGTCTCATGTGCCGGGCGTTGGTGGCGCATACCTTTAATCCTAGCACCGGGAGGCAGAGACTGGTGGATCTCTGTGAGTTCGAGGCCAGCCTGGTCTCCAGAGCGAGTGCCAGGATAGTCTCCAAAGCTACACAGAGAAACCAAACAAAAATTCTTCGTTCAAGACTTTAGAATTAAAGTCATGTGCCACCATGCCTGGCCAATGTTTTGTTTGTTTAGTTTGGTTTGGTTTTCGAGACAGGGTTTCTCTGTGGCTTTGGAGGCTGTCCTAGAGCCAGCTCTTGTAGACCAGGCTGGTCTCGAACTCACAGAGATCTACCTGTCTATGCTTCCAGAGTGTTGGGATTAAAGGCGTGCGCCACCACCACCTGGTGCTGGCTAATTTTTTAATTTTTTAAAAATTATGTGGGATCCGTATTTTCTTTGCATGAATGTTTTTAAACATTATTTCATGTTTATGCCTACTGAATTCTCTGCTCAGTGAGCTTGGTGGTCAACGACTTATTTCACAGAGATTTCCTTAAATGCATAGAACCAAAAGTCACTCGGTCTTTGCCAAGGGACTCAGTACTTGCTGAGGCATGCTTTCAATTTCCAGCCAGATAGTTTATACTACTTCACTTCCTGTCTGGATAGAGCCTCAAGTTTGATGGTAAGAAAGTAAGACTTCCTCCGGTCTTTCCTGCCCCCACACACAACCCTGAGTAGGCACATAGTTAATGTAGGTGTTTGTTCTAGATCCCCAGGAACATCTCCAAAACTCTCCAAAGCCCCATACAGATAACACAATCCCTCACGTTTCCTTGTAAGCATTTTAACTAACTTATCCTTTGCCCCCATTGTTATCTACCATCACAGAATGCCAACATGTTAAATAGTTACTTCTCATAGTTTAGACAAATGTCCCTGCCATGTCCAGCATGGTTCCAGGTCAGCGAGGGAATAAAGAAAAGACAAACACACACTTGGAAAATCTGGAATCCAGTGGGTTGGGTTCTCTGATGAAAGAAGCTCAGCGTGTTTATTAACATACAGCTGAACATAGAGGTGTATACAACTGAACAAAGAGTCAGAATATCAACTTACAGATAAACAAGGAGTCAAGGTTTATGGTATACAGCTGGATCTAGGGGGCAGGTTTAGCTAATCTCTGTAGCAGTTTCTATAGTGGAGCAGTCTTGGGTTCTGGAGGGGGAGGAATCTGTGGTGGACCTTTTCTGCACATACTATTAATATCTACACATGGACCAGAGGAAGTCTTTTCAGTCTTCTGAGCTGGCATGGGGGAAGGTTTTACCACTTTACCACAGGTCTGAGGCTATGGGATCCTTGACATGACTGTGCCCCGTGTTGGCAACACACATTGACTCAGGACTTCCTCCACTCCCCACAGTCCATAAACAACATCTGCTCTCTGCAGGTTGCAAGTCAAATAAAAATAACCTCTTTTTCAGATTTCACGTGTATTCTATTTCTTTGGCATGTTGTATTTGGATGGGTGGGTACGAAGGGCTGTTGACATGAATTGGCATGATCCTGAGTTGGTTTTGAAAGAGTTACTTCAGCAGCTGTCATGGTTACTGATCTCTGCATTCTTTTGGAGCAACTCTGCCAGCAGGGCCTGGTTCTGCTCCGTTCCAGTTTTTATTACTGTTGCTATCCATATGGCAAGAAGAAGAAGGTAGTTTCACTCTAATACAGGATTGCTGTAGTTGTTATTGGAAATCAGGTGTATGTTTCTGGTGAGTCGGCATTGCCGCCATTTGCCAAATGCTTCAAAGTTGGAGGTAAGCAACTTAGTGCATTTTTTAGCCAAGGGAAACAACAAAGAGCTGAAGATAGAAATGTGGCAGTTGAAGCTGCTGGTTTGGTGAAAAACTGTTTTAGGGCTCCTTGCAATGAACACTGAAACCCTTAAGGTAGATCTTCCGAGAAGCCACTAAATAGATCAAACAATGAGCTTACTGTAAACGTGGCTTTGAAGGAACTTTGAGCCTACTCTATCCCTCTCAGGGCTGCCAAGCCTCTGGCTTTCATTGCATCTGCTTCAGGATGTTGGTTTTCAAAGCTCCTACAGAACTTGGGAGGAAGAAAGATGGAAGGAATGTTAAAATGCCTCAAAACACACTGTTTTTTTTTTTATTTTTTTTCTCCAAAAACAGGGTTTCTCTGTGGCTTTGGAGCCTTTCCTGGAACTTGCTTTGTAGACCAGACTGGCCTCAGATTCACAGAGATCCGCCTGCCTCTGCCTCCTGAGTGCTGGGATTAAAGGTGTGCGCCACCACCGACCAGCAAACTCACTATTCTTATTAACATCTTCCATTTTTTTGAATAAACACTCATGGGTGTAAACCTTTGGATATTTTCCAAACTTTCTGCTTTTATTGTTTGTTTTATTTTCACTTTTGAGATAGGGTCTTACTCTCTAGTACAGACAGGCTTAGAATTTACTATGTAGTTCAGGCTGTTCTGAATGTTTCACAGTTTTCCTGCCCAGGCCTCCTGAGTGCTGGAATTACAGGTATGAGCCACCACATCCAGCTTAATTTCCAAAATTCTGAAAAAGTTGATCCTTACAGGGCCAGCAAGATTGCTTAGCAAGTAAAGGCACTGGCCACACAAGCCTGATGATCTGAGATAGATTCCACAGAACTCACAACCGTTACCTGTTCACCATGGTATGTATCCTTCTACCAAAAATAATACTTTTATTTTTTAATTTAAAAGCTGATCCTGACAATTTTATTACTTCCATAGATGTTTTTTAGAGGGTTCTTCACCATTTTTGCTAATGCTACTGCTTCCAATTGTTTTCTTATTTTTCCCTCCTATTTTTTGTGGGCTTTTTTTCATATTTATTCATTGGGACAAGGCAAGGAGGTGTTATTCATGTACCATGGTACATGTGTGGAGGTCAGAGGACAACTTTTCAGAGTTAGCTCTCTCTCTACAATGTGGGTCTTAGAGATCAAACTCAGGTTGCTTGGTGGCAAGCACTCCACCCACTAAGTCAGTGTTCTCTTGAGGAACAGAACTAATAGAATGAATCTATATGCATAAAAAGGATTTATTAGAGTGGCCTATAAGCTGTGCTCCTACTAGTCCCCCAGTGGCTGTCTTCTGACAGAAAGTCCAAGAATCTAATAGTTGTTCAGTCTACAAGGCTGAGTGTCTCAGAATGCCTTGGGATCCTGAAGAAGTAGTTCCTTCCTCAGGAGCAAGATAAACGTGCCATTGAGAGTGAAGGCAAGCAGGCAAAAAGAAAAGTTCTCTGTCTTAGTTGTGATGGGGGATGTTCTTCTGAATATATGTTTCTCTTATTGGTTGATGAATAAAACACTGATTGGACAGTAGAGGCAGGAAGATAGGCAGGGCTAGGAGATGAGGGAGAATGCGGGACAGACAGACACTGTGAGGAAATGCCATGTAGAGACTGGGAAGATAAGATGCGCCAGGCGTTCTCTGGTAAGATAAGGCCATGTGGAAATACATAGATTAGTAGTTATGCGTTAATAATTAAGACAGCACTAGCCAATAAGAAGTCCTAGCCATCAGCCAACAGTTTAATAATTAATATGTCTCTGTGTGCTTATTTGGGACAGAAGAGCGGTGTACCCTGGCAGGACAGAAACCTCCATCTTCAGTGAAGAAACACCATGACCACAGCAACTCTTATAAAGGAAAACATTTAATTGAGATGGTGGCTTACAGTTCAGAGGTTTAGTCCATTATCATCATGGTGGGAAGCATGGCAGCGTGCAGGCAAACATGGTGCTGGCTACATCTTGATCAGAAAGCAACAGGAAGTAGACTGGGTCATTGATATTGGCTTGGACATCTATAAGACCTCAAAGCCCACCCCCAGAGTGACACACTTCCTCCAACAAGGCCACACCTCCTAATAGTTCTACTCCCTATGAGATTATGGGGGGCCAATTGCATTCAAGCTACCACAGCTTCCTTCTTCCTAGTCCTTTATATAGGCTGCCAGCAGAAGGTATGGTCCAGATTAAAAGTGGGTCTCCTCACCTCAAAGGACTCAATCAAGAAAAAAATCCCTCACAGATGTGCCAGATGCTTGGGTTTTAGTTAATTCCAGATGTAGTCAAGTTGATAATAACCAAAAATGGCCATCATACCACCTCACCAACTCCTCCCATTTGCTTTTAGGCTAAGACTTTTAGTATCACCACCAATGTCTATCTCAAACACTCATCATCAGAAAATCCTGTAGAGGTTAGCAAACGTGTATACAGGATACTTGTGGAACATATCCAGAATCATGGGGTTGTCACCAGTCCTCACCAATGGCATTGCCACTTACCCTCATCAAACCACAGCTCTCAAATCACTTAGCATTTTCAAATGAAACCTTCCCTTCCCTCAGACTTCTCTCTGTGGTCCTCATTGTGGTTCAGTGTCCTAGAATCTTGGTCCTGAAGGATGGTGAAGATGGTGGAACCTTTGAGGGGAGGGGCTAAAAGGAAGGTGATTAGATCACTGGGGACATCACCCTTGCAAGAGATTGATATAGTGATCACAGGACCCTAGCTAGATAGAACCTGTCTAACCCTGATTTCCCTTCAGGGAAATCACTCCTTGAGCACCCTACATTTCATATCTCCTCACTGTTTTCTTTTTCTTGCCTCATGATTCCCCAGTACTCACACTGTCTGACATGCTGTATTTGCTAATGTTCATCTGTCTCTTCACATCAGAATGTAAGCTCATGAAGATGTTTGTATCTACCTGGAATTTTGTTCTCAGGACAAGAAAAACTGTGCAGTTACTATCCCAGGTTGTCCTGTAAAGACCACCCCCATACCTTTGTAAATGTATCCTTCCTACTTGATCCTAACTTGAGAGTGACATGTATTTATTTTGAAATCTTGCTTTAACCCTAACTTGTGAGGCAACACTGTTAGGACTTAGACCTGGCTGACCCCGCCCCCTAAGAACAGGCAGGCATGCATAGTGCTACACAGAGAAACCCTGTCTCAAAAACAAACAAACAAACAAAAAATTACTCACCACACAAGCAAGAGAACCTGTTTCCTCCCTGGCACTTGCATTAGTTACATAAAATGGTCTTGGAGGCACTTGCTTATAATAGCAGTGCTGGGAAGTGGAGACAGGTGGATACGGGACAAGCCCAGGTCCCACTTAGGAACCCTGTTTCCAAAGAGGAGGTTGGGGGAATCACTTGGGAGGCAGAAGATGGTAAAGACACTTGCTACCAAACCTGATGACCTGAGTTTGATGGAAGTCCCACATGGTGGAAGGAGAGAACCAATTCTTGTAAGTTGTCTTCTGACCAGTATATGTGCAGTAATGAGATGGCTTGGTGAGTAAAGGTGCTTGCTGCCAAGTCAGATGGTGGGAATTCAATCCCCATGAACCACCTGGTGGCATAAGAGAACTGATTCCCACAAGGTGTTCTCTAGCCATGGCATTTGCAAGAGGTCTGAACATGCAAACACACACATGTATATACACACTGATAGATAGATAGATAGATAGATAGATAGATAGATAGATAGATGTAAAGTAAAACTTTAAAGAGATGGAATGGTTTGACGAGATGGTACAAGAAGTACTTGCCACTCAAGCCTGACAACCTGAGTTTTATACCTAGGACCCTCGTAAAGATGAAAGGACCTCACCAAAAGTTGTCCTAGAACCTCTGCTCATGTGCAATGGTATTGAAAGGGGTAAACTAAACTAAAAGGCTTCACTTCTAGGAATGAAGAGACCAGACCCTCACTCAGCCCCTGCTTTAGAAGCTGTGACAGGCTACAGAACAGTCATGTAGGCCTGTAACACAAGGAAACTCCAGATCCTCTGGCCTCCCGGAGCCTAGGGCCAAAACTAAACAAAAAGAAACTCCAGACTACCCCCCCCCCAGGTACTTGGTTCCTGGGAACTGTTTGGCCACAAAAGAACCTCCAGACAAAGCCATAGAAACCACAAAATGTTCCCTCTCAGCACTGACCAACGAGAATACCTGGTACACAGGAATTTCATGCCCAAATATGACTTTGAGAAAATTTCCTGATTGTTCCCAAATGTCAACCAACCAGAAACCAACCCGTACCTACTGATGCAATCCTGTAATTTTTGTCTTTAAAACCTAGCAGTAGACAGGAAACTTCTTCACCCTCTCTGGAGGCTGCAGCGTCAGCTTGCTAGATAGGGTCCCTCCCTTGGTAGGATAGACAATTTAATAAACCTCATTCATTTGCCTGGGTGGTCTGTCTCCCTGATCTCTTTGGAGATCCTTGTGACTCAGGCACAATAGTATGTGTGCCATACCATATATATATTTTTGAAAACCAAGATGGATGGCTCCTAAACAACATCTGAGGTTGACCTCTGACCTCCACATCTGAGTGTCCCCAACAAAAGATAAAGAATTCACAGAAGAAGAAATTCATGTGGTTATACATAAAAGCTGCTCAGAGCTGAATGTTTCACATGGTCATTGTAGTAGACTACTTGCTTGGCATGTGCCAGGTTCTGGGTTGGGTTCCCAGAAATCCCTAAAAGTTAGTAATTAGGAAAGTGGAAGTTTAAGTACAAGATCCTACAATATAATATTTGGCAATAAAAACAAGTATAGTCAGTGTTAGAAGGATGCAACTAGAGGAATTGTTGGTTCAGCTACTTTGTTGGCACAGAAAATAATGACAGTCGATAAAACCAATGCTACACAAACCACACACCATATTACCTAGTTATTTCCTTCCTTCCTTCCTTCCTTTCTTCCTTCCTTCTTTCCTTTCTTCCTTCCTTCTTTCTTTTCTTCCTTCCTTCCTACCTTCCTTTTCTTTCTTTTTTGTTTTTTCGAGACAGAGTTTCTTTGTGTAGCTTTAGCTGGAACTCACTCTGTAGACCAGGCTGGCCTCGAACTCACAGAGATCCACCTGCCTCTGCCTCCCTGAGTTCTGGGACCTAGTTATTTTCTATGGAGGAATCCAACATTCACATGTTCACAGAGAGACATGTTGATAATGTTCATTGCTTCATTTCAGTGTAATAAAGGAAATAAGAAAACACTCAACTGTTTCTCACTGGGAAAATGGTCTACCTTACATTTGCATTTATCTACTTGGATCCATCTAAAAAAAAAAACAAAAAAACATCATTGAGTCAAAAAGCAAGATGAGGAAAAAAACAAAATATAAGTGCTTGGTGTGTTTGGTGGCACACCTGTAATTCCAGGTACTTCGGAGGCTGAATTGGGAGAATAATCTGAGCTGTGAAGTGTGGAATAGAATACTTGTTTAACTATGTAAAGATGCATTGCAGAATATTTGTTTAACTATGTAAAGATGCATTGCAGAATATTTGTTTAACTATGTAAAGATGTGTTGCATTTGTGTTGCAGAATAATTGATAATTATATAAAGGTGTGTTGCTTTGGTTTATGTTACATTTGTTTAATTACATAAAGATAGGTTGCTGTTTCACCTTGTCTTCCTAACATGATTGGTCTAATAAAAAGCTGAACAGTGGCCAGGCAGTGGTGGCGCTCGCCTTTAATCCCAGCACTCGGGAGGCAGAGGCAGGCGGATCTCTGTGAGTTTGAGGCCAGCCTGGTCTCCAGAGTGAGTGCTAGGATAGGCTACAAAGCTACACAGAGAAGAGAAACCCTGTCTCGAAAAAACAAAACAAAACAACAACAAAAAAAAGCTGAACAGCCAATAGCTAGGCAGAGGAGGGATAGGCGGGGCTTGCAGGCAGAGAGAAAAGAGGAGCCAGCCAGCCAGCTTGGGTGTCAGCCAGTAGGGGTCTAGCCAGAAACAGAGGAAGCAGGAAAACAGGATGGACAGTACAAAGATGAGGTAAATGAGCCTCAGGGCAGCACCTAGATTAATAGAAATGGGTTAATTTAAATTAAAAAAAAAAAGGAGCTAGTTAGAAACAAGCCTAAACTGAGAGTGAACACTCATAATTAATAATAAGTCTTCATGTCATGATTTGGGGCTGGCAGTACAAGAAAACCTGCTACTGTGAGGGTTTGGGGTTGTTTTTGTTTTGTTTTTCCGAGACAGGTTTTCTCTGTGTAGCCCTAGCTGTCCTAGAACTCAATCTGTAGATCAGGCTGGCCTTGGATTCACAGATATGCCTGCCTCTGCCTCCTGAGTGCTGGGATTAAAGACGTGCACCATCACAGCCGAGCTGTGAGTTTGAGACTAGCTTGAGACTAGTCTGATTAAAAAAGCAAGACTCAAAGCAAAACAAAAATGGTATAGTTATAATTATTGAATAAAAGTGTACAGAGTGATATGTCATGTATTTTTATAGAATTGTAGTTTATGAATTTCATGTTTTTTTTTTACAATTTATTTATTTTATGAGCATTGATTGGTGATTTGCCTCCATGTATGTATGCCTGTATGAGGGTGTCAGATCCTTTGGAATTGTAGTTACAGACAGTTGTGAGCTGCCATGTGGGTGCTGGGAATTGAACCCTGGTCCTCTGAAAGAACAGCCAATGTTCTTAACCACTGAGCTATCTCTCCAGATCCGAATTTCACATATGTTGTAAAAATGTAAAACATGCACAGCAATGATAAGTATCAACTCTATATGTCAAAATGAGGTGAATGACTAGTGGGTAAGGCTGTGCCCAAATCCAATTGTTAAAATCATTTATCA